AGGATTGTTAAAGATGAATTAGGATAAGCAGATATGAGGTGGAAGAGGCAGTGATGAGCTGGGATAGGCAAAGATGTGCTATGAGTTACTAGTAAGTGCACAAAATTTCGGTAAGTGATGCTCACTCTTGAATCTTCAGCTTGAGCGAATTTGCATGTGCTCATGCATATGCTAATTTCATAGATAACAGATTGTATGTGATACTGTAGAGAGGAGCGCTGGTGGAGATAGAGGCGGTGGTGGATAGAAGTGGTGATAGTGGTGGTTGTTATGGTGGTGGTAGTTAGCGTGAGATAAGGCAGGATATAGTGGTGGTACATGATGCCTTTAGAGATGGGTTCCCAAAGCTGTGAGGCTCTAAGATGATTAACGTGCTATAATGATCCCAAACGACCGTATACTCACTATAATTGTTAAATCTACTCATATTGCACTTTTTCCCCTGTCGTTCGGAGTTCTTTGGTGCATCGAGCCTCTATACGTTGTTGATGGAGGTGGTTTTTATGACTTCTTCTCTTCATCCATGTGCATCCCACTTGTTGACGAATCATAGAGGGTTCGAACATTACTTTTTTAAGAGTTATTTTGACACGTAAAAGCTTTTCAAGGCTCCATTTATGTAGTTACGGCAGTGTGGTAGAAATGATGTTAAGAAGGTTGAATGATAGTTAGGAATATTGTCAGTGATGGTGATGGTGAGGCCATGATGTCATTGTAGTAAAGTGTAATGGGAGTTCACATCATCATCCTCTACCTTTCTCACTTGCTCGAACTCTGTGATTCCACTCTCACACGTTCTCTCTCTCTCTCTCTCTCTCTCTCTCTCTCTCTCTCTCTCTCTCTCTCTCTCTCTCTCTCTCTCTCTCTCTCTCTCTCTCTCTCTCTCTCTCTCTCTCTCTAAAACTCTCTCTCTCTCTCTCATCTCTCTCTCTCTCTCTCTCTCTCTCTCTCTCTCTCTCTCTCTCTCTCTCTCTCTCTCTCTCTCTCTCTCTCTCTCTCTCTCTCTCTCTCTCTCTCTCTCTCTCTCTCTCTCTCTCTCTCTCTCTCTCTCTCTCTCTCTCTCTCTCTCTCTCTCTCTCTCTCTCTCTCTCTCTCTCTCTCTCTCTCTCTCTCTCTCTGTCTTTTGCTCTTTCTTTTACCATAGGTAACTGTTAATAGGTAACCACTAAGAGGTAAGTACAGATAGGTCAAAACTGGTAGGTAAGTACTGGTAGGAAGGATTTGGTAGGTAAGTACTGGTAGGAAGGGACTGGTAGATAAGTACTGGTAGGAAGGCACTGGTAGGTAAGTACTGGTGGGAAGGAACTGGTAGGCAGGTACTGGTAGGAAGAAACTAGTAGGAAGAAACTGGTAGGTAAGTACTGGTAGGGAGGGGACTGGTAGGTAAGTACAACAGACCTTAAGCAAGGGGCACTGTGTGGGCCGCTGGGTATGTAGGCGTCACAATACCCGAGGCGCCTCCGTCTATATGGACCTTAGACGAACTAAGTGCAACTGCGCAACCCGTCCATTACGTCGCATATTGTACGGAACTGTCTAACCCGTTACAAACGTGAGGCTTTAGTTCAATTTAAAGCGCCGTAATAGTCACGTTTTCTATGCATAGATCTTCATACGCTCGGTGGGTTGTTTGGGTTCGTACGTTTTTGGCTAGGCCAGACTGGTGTATATTTTTTTTTACAGTAGCTGTTTTACATGTGTTTTATGGTCCGTAGTGGATATTTTCGGTGCTTTGCATGTGTTTTAAAGTTTTCTTTCAGTGCTTGGCCGTGCTTGGGATCTTAGAAGCTTAATCTCAGCGTACAAGAAGCTTTTGGTGTTGATTCTGGGTTCCCAATTTGGTTTGAGTTCATTTTAGCGTGGAATAACATTCTGGCTAATATATATATATATTTCGGGGGTAGCTTAGTTCAACATGCTCAGGTCTTAACTCAGAGCTCTCTGACCTGAATACTCCTTCAATCCCTATACTGAATACTTCAGCTAACTAACGTTTAAATTGAATTCATACAATTTTTTCATGCACTTTCAACACATCGAAAACATATTTGTATATACAGTTACCGTGCTCATATTTTTTAAAAGTTTATTTGGAAAAGATTTGTTTTCTTTTTATAAGTTGAGCTTTTGCTTGCATAACTTGGTGCTCATATTCAGGTATGGTTTCCAGACTGACGTAAGCCAGCATCCATGTGATTGAGTATACCCCCCCCCCCTTTTTTAGAGCATCCATAGTTTTGGAAATATATATAATCATATTTTTAAAACGGTAAAATTAACGCATATATATATATATATATATATATATATATATATATATATATATATATATATATATATATATATATATATATATATATATATATATATATATATATATATATATAATGGTTAGGAATTTTAAGTGCGTATTAACACATTAGAAATGGGTACATTTGATGCAAATATTATGTTATCACCATTAAAATGGGGCTTGCTGTCCCTTATTGGCTTCCAGCAAGTTTTCAGGGTCTGTTATACGTTAAATTTCAAGTGGTTTATCCTTAACAGAAGCGTACGCACCTAAGCAACCCACCTAACACATCGAGGTTGATGCTCATTGGAGCGAGATGTGTCAGAGGTGGAACATACCAAATAATGGGATCTTTTAAAACCATCGATTCGCAAATTTCTACGTTTTCTTTGCGTTGCTTTGCTAGGTTCGGTAGGTGGCTTGGGTTGGTGCGTTATAGCACCCCTTATTTTGCAAGTTGTGGCAAATCAAGAGAACGGGCGGTTTAGATATAGCCAACGTATAGGGTCAGGTTGAGCGTTAATTTAAATGTGGTTTTGGAGCGTCTGAATTTGTCCAGTTCAAAGCCTGCAAGTAAGATCTATGTGCGGCAGTTACTCCAGTCAGGATAGGATTTTTTTTCTTCTCGCTAAGGGTGACTCGTGTATTGTACCTCCTCCCTCCTCGCGGTCTCCTTCCCCGAGGAATCTTTATCTCTTTTCTTTCCTTCTACTTTAATACTGTCTGTCTCCCCATGCTCTCTCTCTCTCTCTCTCTCTCTCTCTCTCTCTCTCTCTCTCTCTCTCTCTCTCTCTCTCTCTCTCTCTCTTCTCTCTCTCTCTCTCTCTCTCTCTCTCTCTCTCTCTCTCTCTCTCTCTCTCACTTACTTATTCTCTTAATCACTTACTTACTCGCTCTCTCTCGCTCTATCACTTGTCCTTCTCTTTAATCACTTACTCGCTCTCTCTCGCTCTATCACTTGTCCTCCTCTTTAATCATCTTTTAGTCCTCAACCTACTTGTCCTCATCTTTTAGCTCCCACCACTCTCTTGTTCCCGTCTCTCCTTCCCCTTCTCTCTCTTACTCTTTATACATCATTTCTCTGTCCTCTCCCCCTCTTCACCTTCTCTCTCACTCTCTACACAAACGCTGCACAGTGACTGCACGAGGAATGTTAACTATACTTAACGAAATCTCACAAAGAAAATGACAAGACAAAATTTAACCACAATGTATTTGATGTTTATAAAAAGAGACATAATTTTGATGATTACGACACACGCCCCTAATGCTGAGTTGTAATTGGTTGACTCACAGCAAGACTTTTACATAATTTATTATTCATATTTTGTATATTATTATGCACTGTGAGACAAAGATGAATGTTTCCCCAAGGCGTATTTCACTATAAAATGTATTGGCTCCACTAGGATTCGAACCTGGACGACCTAGGGTTCACCCTACTCGTTTTTCAATACTAATACCACTCCACTATCGATTGCCTATCGCTGAAGGAGTGCTGAATGGTTGTAAGAGTGGTATTAGTACTGGGTAACCAGTGGCGTAACTCATGGGCGTCAAGGTTCGAGTCCTAATGGGGCCAAAAGATTCTATATTGAGTATTATATATTATATTATATTGTAATCTTTCTAATTTAAATTCTACTTAGTATATTTACAGAATTCTCTCATTTCTGAAGGAATCATGTATAGCACACTATTGTCTTGTTGTGTAAATAATCATCCAGGTTCTGCTGGAAAACCCCATTCAGTTGTCTGCTGGTAAACACCATTCAGTTGTCTGCTGGTAAACACCATTCAGTTGTCTGCTGGTAAACACTATTCAGTTGTCTGCTGGTAAACACCATTCAGTTGTCTGCTGGTAAACACCATTCAGTTGTCTGCTGGTAAACACCATTCAGTTGTCTGCTGGTAAACACCATTCAGTTGTCTGCTGGTAAACACCATTCAGTTGTCTGCTGGTAAACACCATTCAGTTGTCTGCTGGTAAACAACATTCAGTTGTCTGCTGGTAAACCCCATTCAGTTGTCTGCTGGTAAACACCATTCAGTTGTCTGCTGGTAAACACCATTCAGTTGTCTGCTGGTAAACACCATTCAGTTGTCTGCTGGTAAACACCATTCAGGTGTGTGAAGTAACACGAGAGTCCAGCAGGCACGACTAATTATTACCATACTCCAGGGAACTTAAAGATATACTGAACAAGAAACCCTACAACCCACACGTGTGGAATGGAAAGCAAGGGATGGTGTTTCGAACAGTCCTGGATCCTCAACGAGTAGAAATTTCATAAATGTGGGTTATGTGTGTTGAACTAAGCTATTGTGAGTTGTTCTCTGCATATTGTGTACTGATCTAAAGCCATTTAGAAGGTTGCAGAGTCTAAGTAACAAACAGTGTTTGGGAAAATTAGCGACTTTGCAGATAATTTACGGAAAATTAATTTTTAGAAAAGTAATACGAGAGATTGCTAGGCTCAGTTTACACAAAGCGATTACAAATTGGTTGTCCCAAATAGGTGGAGACGACAATATCAATACAATTGATTTTTATTAAATTCTTAGAGCAGGTAGCAGAGGACTTTAATTTGAAAACGAAATGTCAGTGTAGATAAATACACAGCAAAACACCTTGTAGAGCGCGCAAGCGTACATAAAACACACAAAAACACCCCTCACTCCATACAGACCAGAACCATTCGCTTACCTTGGCAGCTACACCTGCAGACACATGCAAAGGCGTTCACTTGGACGCACCTGTTTGGAAAGAAGAGGAAAAAAATGGGTTAGTTTTTCAACCTCTGAACTGTGTACTGTTAACACCCACTGATGAGAGAGTCAGTGTTGGCAGCCTTGACACTGACCAAGGAGGGAAAGTCAGTGTTGGCAGCCTTGACACTGACCAGGGAGGGAGAGTCAGTGTTGGCAGCCTTGACACTGACCAGGGAGGGAAAGTCAGTGTTGGCAGCCTTGACACTGACCAAGGAGGGAAAGTCAGTGTTGGCAGCCTTGACACTGACCAGGGAGGGAGAGTCAGTGTTGGCAGCCTTGACACTGACCAGGGAGGGAGAGTCAGTGTTGGCAGCCTTGACACTGACCAGGGATGGAAAGTCAAGTGTTGGCAGCCTTGACACTGACCAGGGAGGGAAAGTCAGTGTTGGCAGCCTTGACACTGACCTGGGAGAGAAGAGTCAGTGTTGGCAGCCTTGACACTGACCAGGGAGGGAGAGTCAGTGTTGGCAGCCTTGACACTGACCAATGAGGGAAGAGTCAGTGTTGGCAGCCTTGACACTGACCAGGGAGGGAAAGTCAGTGTTGGCAGCCTTGACACTGACCAATGAGGGAAGAGTCAGTGTTGGCAGCCTTGACACTGACCAGGGAGGGAAAGTCAGTGTTGGCAGCCTTGACACTGGCCAGGGAGGGAGAGTCAGTGTTGGCAGCCTTGACACTGACCAGGGAGGGAGAGTCAGTGTTGGCAGCCTTGACACTGACCAATGAGGGGAAGAGTCAGTGTTGGCAGCCTTGACACTGACCAATGAATGAAGAGTCAGTGTTGGCAGCCTTGACACTGACCAATGAATGAAGAGTCAGTGTTGGCAGCCTTGAGACAGTATCAAAAGAACACTACTACCACACTTCACAAGCTAGTCACAAGTGTTGATGAATAAGCACAACAATGAACACAATTGCATTACATTCTTTTCAACACTCCCTTATATTTGTGTTCCCCAAGACTGCTCGGTGCACAAAAGGTCGCCATAATGGCTTTGTAACCCACTAACCTAAACTGTAAATTTAAATGTGTTGTATAAACAGTAACTAGACGAGGTACCCTGCAGTGCCCGGGTCAACCATGTAAGGTTGCGCCATGAGTCTGACCCCCCCCCCCCCCCTTAAAGGGGGGATGCATGGGGGATATCCCGAACACCCCTTATGATCGTCTGTAACGCACACCAGTTATCATGCAAGGTATAAAGTATCTGTCGCTTGAAGCGACTAGCTTCAAGCGTCTGGCTTCCTTGGCATATATACTGTACAGAATTATACCTTGTTTCATGCACACTCTTCAGTAGAGAAGTAGTTGGTGGTATAGTTTTCAAAGAGCTCTAAATGTACTGTCACCGTTGCTTGACTACGAGTTCCTTAATAACTATCAAAGACGTATGCTTTACTATATATATATATATATATATATATATATATATATATATATATATATATATATATATATATATATATATATATATATATATATATATATATAACTGAATGTAACAATTGGGTGAGATCAATGATTTTAGCACGAATCATCACTATTTTCCTTACATGGTCAAAAGCAATTCGAATGATTACAAAGTGACTGATGGATGGATGAAGATTAAGCCACCCAAGAGGTGGCACAGGCATGAATAGCCCCTGGGTGGTGGATGTTTGGAGTGAATGTGATCTTTGGTCGTGAAAGGATATATAGCGTGCTGTGTTTGCATTTAAGCTGCAAGTCCTTACTGTGTGGCTGCTATCGCGGGGAAGGACACTGCTTGAGAGTATTTATGAGGGTGTCCAGCTGCTGGACACTTCATTACTAGAAGAGTGACAGTGTTGATGGCTTCCGGGTCGTGACTTCAAGATTCACGGACTCTTAAAGCTCTTCTAAGGTCGTTGGTTGCTTCACTGTCCAGGAGATAGTGAAGTAGTGTGTTACGGACCCGAGCCCAGCGTCCGAGCACGGAGCTGTGACGACCACGCCATCTGTGAGTCAGCTCCCGAAACCCGAGCCCCTCCAAATGGACGAAGCCATCTAGTGAGGACGAGATATACCGGCCACAGGGGCTGGTTCCCCGTCCTAATCAGCTCGTAACATAGCCGCTGCTGACCTCTGGTAAGGTGATGCTAAGACAGCAACGCCATCTATGGAGTGGATAGGTGGGCGTTTGTGTCTAAGCCTGTAAGTGAGGTGCCCTAGAGTGTAACCAGTACTGATGACGTGTCTGATTACAGAGTCAACCTGGGACTGCTGGATTGGACGGTGGGGCAGTCTACCCAAGGCAGCCGTAGAATCTTTACGCATTTGCTGCAGAAGCTGTGAGTCATCCCCCGGATGAACACTGTTGTGTTAGCCTGCCTGTGAGGTGGCAGAACCAGGGATTGTCGTACCCGGGGCTGACTGGCGGAGAAGACTAGCCACTGGGGTGTTGTGGTGAGGAGAGTGATCTGTGGAATCACACGAGGCTCCTGCCTAAAGCTCGCAACCCTAGTATCGGTCGTGGAGTGGCCTACGCAGCGTAGCTGATTGGAACCTGCCAGCTACAGGCTGGATTTGTAGTTGAAGGCCTCCACGACGGTGCACCCAGTGGTACCGTGATTTGGCTGACCTGTGGCCGGGGTAGAATCGTCTAGAGGATCTACGGATTCATCGTGAGGCTACAAGACGAGGACCAAGGGCTAAGCATCGTTTAGCACCGTGGAACACTCCGCGTCTTCAGAGGAAGATCATATTGTACATTATAGTGTTTATACCCCCACGTGTGATAATTTATATATTTATTTATGGGTGATGGTGATTATATATTTAATTTAGAGAATTTGTATCCCTTCCCCTTTAATTTACTTGCATTACGGAACACACCCCTTGAAAGCCACTACTAGCTTGGGGCCGGATACCCTAACTCTAATAACATCAGAGAAAGAACCCAGTTGCGGCCTTAATAGGGCTGTAACAATACCCATTAGAGTATACAATATTGATCAGGACCTGCCTTAATCTGCAGAATTCCTCATCAACTTGCTTCCAATTGGAGCTGTGTGTTAAGGCGCGGTTGACATAGGCAGTGACAACCCTTCGCTGGCACCTATTAAGGCCCCTCACTCTTACCATTAAGGCACATCCCCATGTTAGTTCCCTTACTGTAGACTGCAGAGTTAAAAACCTCCATTCCTTTCCGAGAATATTACATCTAGGAGAGGTAGTCTACCTCCACTCTCAATTTCGTAAGTGAACCTTAATTAGCACTGAACTTCGTTCGAATGCATCAATAAGCCGCAGCGAGTGCTCAATATTAGGTACCTGCAGGAATATGTCGTATACATATCTTCAGAATACTTTAGACTTTAGGCCCATGTCTAAAGTATTAGGTAAGTTTTATGTAATCGTTAACATATTATATTTTATTTGTCCAAAGAAGTAAATTACTAGATTTCAAAATTTCGCGTTCTTAAGACGAAAAAAAAAAATGTTTTCCGCACACCGTATGTAAATATTTGAATGAAACATTTGAAACATTAGAAGTCAAGCCGACCACACACTGGCCTGCGGTATTGGTGTTCCCACTATTACGCCTCACTCATATCAGAAAGACATGTCCAACCAATCATCGTGGCCGAGTCGGTTAGGGCAGGTGTCTGGGAATCACTAGAACGTGAGTTTGAGTCACTTTATTGCCTCAAAATGATTTACATTGATATATGATGCCATTGTGAGTTACGTATATGATTGATTCCATTTTCTGTAAATTGGTTAGTGATTTTGTAAATTCATTTTAACTTTCATTAACCCATTTAATTTATTAAAGTATATGCGAGTCATACATTATGTTTTTATAATTTAATTTAAATTTTCCCATTTGTAATCACATAAAATACTTTCCGATTCCTCATTTGCAATCAACCGATTTATTCCAGTTTCATTCATCCAATTTCCATTCGCATTTTCCCCAATTCCATTCATTCAAATTCCATTCAATTCCATTCACTTCCGGCCCATTTCCAGAAGACCAGCTATTCGAATGTCATTACCATTCCAATTCCAGCTCATCACCCATCCCTCGACTCTGTCTGGAAGATAAAAACGCATACAAAATAGGAGTATGAAAAGTAGTAGAGACAATTAAACAAAATGAAGGAAATGTACCAAGAAACACGAGGACCAATCGAACAAACACACAACATTTTCACAATATTACAAGGTTGTCCACAATGTTGTTGACGAGTTGTGTGTTTGCTGGATTTAGCGTCTCTGTAGACAGTCGGTTTGAAAGGTAAGGGGTCGAGGAGCTGGAGCTCTGTCCAGCAACCACTGTTAACTTACTATAAGTGATCAACTTGATGTCAGAATTAAATCTGCAGCTTGAGGCGCCAAATGGCATTAAATATGAGGTGAGGTGCCAGACTATATTAAGTCACCCCTCCAGGCTATAGTTACTCAACACTACGTGGTGTGCATGGTATACGTGTGTGTATAGCTGGGATGCGAATACCTAAGGTGTGTACAGCTGAGGTTGTGTATATATATATGTATGTGCCAAATAGAGTGGGATAATACTCTATGAACAGGTACTTTTCTCAAGTGAATTTAGTAATTAAAGTTTGTAACACTCTAGCTATACATTGTAACCAAGGCAATACCTGAAATATGTCATTCAGGGACTGAGTATTTACAAATACAAGTGATGAATATCCATGACAAGGAGTCAGGTCGTTCACTCTCAACACAAATATTCTCATATCTTCACTCTCGAACCAACCCAAGTCGTACTGTTTTGAAGTAGTAGCTCTCTCTCTCTCTCTGTCCCCCTTCTCTCTCTCTCTGTCCACCTTTCTCTCTCTCTCTCTCTCTCTCTCTCTCTCTCTCTCTCTCTCTCTCTCTCTCTCTCTCTCTCTCTCTCTCTCTCTCTCTCTCTCTCTCTCTCTACCTATCTATTTCTCCCTCTCTCTCTTTCTCTCTAATGCTGGCTGCTCCACAAAATCTACGTTCTCTTAGTTATTC